AAGGTGCTCAGCAGGCCCAGCTCCCCCCCTCCGCACACACAACAGGACCAGTATCAGAGCATCAAACCACAGAGCCTGGGTGGAGACTGTGCCCAGCCTGGAGGTAGTGGTACTGGCAGTGGCTGCTGTTGACCCACAAACCACAGAGCCTGGAGGCAGCGGGAAGGGGACACTGGCTGGGGACTGGGATTCCGTTGGGCCTGCCCAGGCCTGATGGGCTGGAGGCAGGGTCCAGGGGCAGGGCCAGCCAGATGGTCATCACAGGGTGGGGCTCAGGGTTGAGGATCAGGCTAGTTCAGTTGAGGCTTTCCCAGCAAGTAGCTCGGCCCAAGGGCCAGGGACACAGACAAATGACAGTGACTCTCCCTCCCTGAGCACCAACAGCACTGGCAATTAGCCAGGGGACAGATAAGAGTGAGACTGGAAGGGAGCCCCAAGGGGTCAAGTCCATTGGGCCCCACCCTGTGATGTAGACCCTCCAGCTGGTTTAAGGGCTTGGAGGGTGACATGTTCTTAGAGATAAACCCACTTCCACCTTTCAAGAGAGGGTGAGGGGCCATGACACTTCAGGGGGGCCGCTCAGCCAGGTTGTTTCCCTATCCCCACCTCACCCCATGCCTCCCCTAGGGATCCTGGACCCTAACCTTACAAGCGCTACAGGACGGCTGGTGGGAGGTGGGACGGGGTCTCTCTGCGTTGGGCTAAGGTCCTTGAGCTTGGGCAGGGAGGTGCCAGATGGGCCCCACAGATCAGACCCTGTCCAGTCCCGCCTTGGCCTGGGGAAGGTCACTCTGGGCCTCAGTCATAGGGCGACCCCTCCTATGACCTCTACGAGACTGGGATCCCAGAGGAGGGGGCTCTGGGTAATGGGCTGGGCTCCTGGACTTGGTGGCGTGTGGTTGACACCTGTGCGGCTCCCCGATGACAGCCATGTACATGCTAGTTTGGGCTTGCAAATGTGTGTGCACACACAGGGACCAGGGATCCGGGCAGAAAGGACGCTGGCCCAAAGGGCAGGAAGTGCCCGATTCCTGTGACACTTCCCGCCTTCCCTCTCCATGGAGGCAGGAACCTTGCTCAACCTGCCGCCCGCACAAGCGCTTCCCAAAAGGGGCCCCCCGGGGATCTGGAGCAAGGGATGGTCCTAGCAGACAGGCCAGGTCCAGAGGGGAAGACGACCCTCAGGGACAACCCCAGTGCTTCTGCCCACAGTTTCAGGCGGGAGAAAGAGGGTGGCCCGTCACGGACTGCACGGAGCCTGGAGCAGAGCAAGAGGTGCGGGGAGGTCCCGTGGCGTCCCTTCTACCGGGGAGGGAAAGAGGTACCCCGTCTTGACATCTGTTGTCCTTCTGGGTTCCAGCCCCTGCACCCGAAGCGCATCTCCTGGGGCCGCGGCGTCGGGGCTACCGGGCGGCCGTACTCACCTGTGCCAGGTACTGTCTCGGCCGGTGCCCCTGCGCGCTCTGGGCGCTCCGGGGTCCGCACTCCCTGCGGCCGCGCCCTCGGGCTACTCTGGGAAGGCCCCGCCCCACCGCTAGGCCCCGCCCCCGGCTTCCTTAAACGCGCCGCTCTCACCAGTCACCTCCGTGACCCGGAAGTTGGGGTTGCAAACAAGTTTTCGGAGGTGCTGCAGACGTCAGAGACGAGGGGTTCACACGAGCGTCTAGGGTACGTTGGGCAAGCGCGGTGCGGCCAAGAGTCAGCCCGCCGGGGCGGGGACCGGGTTCCGAGCGTTCCCGGACCCTGCGCGCCGGGCGCGTAAACCTGATTAATAATGGATCGCCCCGGGCCGCGCTGCGCGTCTCAACGCTTTCTTTCCAGGAATCTCTGGGCCTTTCCAGGCACCGCCTCCTAACTAGGGCGGCCCGCGAGGAGGGCCTGAGCTCCCTGCGCTGGGGCGGAGGCGCGAGAGAGGAGACCCCGGGGCGGAGGAGGATGCGGGTAGCCAGTCTGCCATGATAACAACTCCCCGCTGGACCCTGTGCGCGCCGTCTGACCGCAGCTGTACCTCGGTCAGCCACTCTTTCAGTAACCCCAGGCCCACATCTCTCCCGGACCCACGGCCGTTTCAGGGTTCTTGCTGATATCCCAAACTCCAGTCCCACTCTGTTCTCCCTCCCCCTACTGGCAAACCTCCATCCCATGGGCCTGTCCTGGGGAGAGAGGGGGCCGCCTCTCCATCCTCCCCGAGGCCCTCGTCTGGCCCTCCGATTAGGGGCGTCACTGCGTCTCCCCTGTCCCGGGACCCACGGCTCTGTCCAGGTCACCAAAGTCACACCCCGCCCCTGCCACATGGAGTCCTGAGATGCCTTCACCCTCAGCAGCGGTTGCCACAGAGAATTCTTCCTTCTTGAGGCATCGGCCAGTGGGCACACACTTGGACTCCCCGGCATCCCGGTCCTGCACATGCAGGCCTCAGCCCAGCCTCTCCCCAACCTGTACTTCAAGGTCCCCAAGCCCAGCTCTCCAGACGATCTTGGGATCATCCCCATCAGGTCCTCCACCTTCCGCCCACTGTCCAACAGGCGCTTGTCTGCCATCTTACCCCAGAACTCTCCCCACCATCCCCCTGTCCATGCACACGTACCCACAGGCCAGCCTGCCTGCTCCCCCCAGCACCCTTGTCTGGAGACAGCCGGAGCCAGCCTTCCCTTAAGCCTAACGTCTCCACCTAAGCCCTACCAGGAGCTTTCTTCCCACCCACGAGGCCCCGCGTGACCTACCCTGCCCACTGTCTGGGGGCCCTCGCTGGCCCTATGCTGCCTCTGGCCCTCTGGGGGCAGGGCCCTGGCACTTGCTGTTCCTTCGGAGGGGATGCCTCAGACTAGTCTAGCTCTCTATACTACCTGCGCTCCCTCCTACTTGCGTACCCCCCACAGCACCTGCCAGGACTGTAGTGCGCTGTCTGATCATCAGTTTACTGTCTCTCCTCTTTATCCCTGGCACCTAACACATGCCTGGCTCAAAGGAGCCATATGAGTCTTCTCAACAAGCAGGTTAATGAATCAAGGATGAGAAAGGGCAGCTCACAGGTTAGCAGGTTGACTGCATGCTGAGATTATGGGAGTTTTTGCTTTATTTGCATTTTCTTTTTTTTTCTCCTACCATTAACACAAACTCCAAAGAACATTTTGTTATCTTTAATGAAAAACAGAAGTTGGAGGGAGGAGGCCACAAGGGGGCATTGGGGGACATAGCCTCAGTTCCTCGTGTGTGCCGCCTCCCAGCCCCCCTTGGGGCTCACACCTACTAGGGTGGGGGGGCTGGGCTCCCAGCTCATTGGCAGGTGTCTGGCGTAGGGCAGGACAGGGAGCTGGCTAGGGTCCCCCAGCAGCACCAAGGGTCCCCTCTGCACACTGGTCCAGTGGAAAGGGCTGCCTAGCCACCTCCCACTCACCCCCCAGGCCCTCCCTGCTAGACTGCTTTCCTCACAGATACAGATGCAGGCCGATCCAGGTGCACACACTCATGCATGTGTATACACACGTACTGGAGGGCAGCCTGCAGGGCCTGCCACAGCTTGACCACCTCCAAGGAACCCACCTAGAATGTCCGGCCCACAGCCCCCCAGACCTCCAGCCCCTGGCCCAGTGGTGTTCCAGCTGGTGTGTGACATCTCGCCGGCATGGGGTCTCCTCAACCAAAAGGAGTCTCCCACCTGCCCAAAGTACAGGCCCACCCCCTCCACCTGAGCCCCCATCATGAGGCTGAGCCAGGTGGGCACCAGACAGGGCTTAGGAGGGGTTCAGTGAGGACAGACAAAAGCACCCCTCTTGAAGTGCTGAGACTTTATTTCATGGTGACCGACAGACAACACAGGGTTAGTAACGGTACACCAGGTGGCTCCCTCCCCCTCTCGGCCCTGAGCCTGAGGTGGCTCAGCCATAGGGAGGATGTCTGGGCCACTGCCTCCAGCAGGAGGATGGACGGGCAGGGGGACAAGATGGACGCAACACTGCAGTTTAAGGCAGTTCTGGCTCTGTGGCTGCCTTTGCCTCCCCGGCGCCACCATGGCCTGGGCCCCTGCACATTCCTAGACAAGGACACCACCCCTGACACCTGAATTGGAGGGTTTGCCACAAGGTGGTGTCCACACATGCCCTCAGCCAGGACAGGAAGGCCAAGTGCCTCATTCCCCCAAGTATTAAATAACATCATACATGAAGTGCTCTGTGATCAGTGGCCAGGCCCAGACCCCTCGTACCCTGGAAGGGAGGACGCCACTGGCCCAGGCAGGCAGCCAACAAATGTCAACCACTTCACACCCATGGTGGCCACACTCTCTCCTGGGGCCATCAGTGGCCTGGGAGAGGGCACGGCCATGTCTACTGGGGCTGGGTGGAGGGGTGGGGCCTGCGAGTCAGGGCACCCAGAATGGCCTGGGCCTGGCCTTTCCTCCCTGGCACCCTGGGACGGGTGGACACAGCTTCTGGGGGGCATGGTGTGTGGCCCTGACAGTAACAATGTTTCTAAGTCACAGTATTGGCACAGGAGGCCCAGGGCAGGGCTGGGCCCTAGCCCACAATGCACCCCTGAGGGGAAGGAATTCAGAGGAGGACCCCAGAAAGGTCCTGTGGGGCTGGGGGGAAGGGCCCCCCTTGAGTCCCAGCACTTTCCTGACAAGACCTGAGGCCTATTTGCTCCGGGGACACAGGCCCCCGCCGGAAGGTGTGAGTGACACGTGCAAGGGCCTGCCAACGGGCCTGGGGACAAGGGGAGACAGCACAGGAGACACGTGAAATGAACACAGAGGGACAGTCAAGTGTGACCACCAGGGACCACGGCAGGATGCAGGGGCCAAGGCAGAGGGGTGTGTCTGCAGCGTCTGGCTGAGGCCCTCTCCTGCCGCTGCTGCCCCACAAGTCCTGGCTCCGGGTTTTGTCTGCAGTGAGGCTGCCTGGTGGAAGGGAGGCTGGGCCAGTAGTCCTTCTGGCCAGCACACAGGCGAGAAAATCATATCAAAAAGCAACGAGTTTACAAAAATAGAAAATAATTACAGCAGGTGGGAGGTGATGGTGGCAGGGGCTCCTGGCCTGGCTGGCTTAGGACGCAGGGCACGGCCGCAGCTGGGGCTTGGTGATGGCATCCTCCAGCAGGTGCAGTGGGCGCCGGCCCACCACCACATCCCGCAGGCAGCCCACGAAGCCAGTGCTGTAGGCCTTGGGCAGCCCCTGGCCTACAGGCAGCTTCTCCAGGCCCCCTGTGGGCCAGACAGAGGAAGGGTCACCCGCTAAAACTCAGGGGCCTGCAGGCCAGGGCGAAAAAGGGCTGAGCCCTACCAGGGCCCACCCTACTCTGCTGTCCTGGGCTGGGCCACATCAGCTCTGCCCTCAGCAACTTGCCCCAGGGGCTGAGGTCTGCCCCTCTGAAACCCTGGGACCCTTGGCTGGCTCCTGGCCACCCCAACACTCACCCAGCCACAGGGTTCCGTCTGTGTCTAGCTGCGAGGCGCCCAGCGGGGAGGAGCCGGTCACAGGGGCCTCATTGCCCACCTGTAGGGAGCCTTCCCTCTGTGCCCTGGGGTTGGGGGGAGACCATCAGGTGGCCCAGGGGCCTGTATACCACCTCCAGGTCCTGACCTGACGCCTTGCAGGTGATACTCCCTTGGGGGCTGCACTGACCCCCAGGAGAGCACCTGGTGGCCAGGGGCACAGATGGGCCCCGAGGAGCATCGCCAGCCAGCACCTGGCAGGGCAGGGACTCTCTTTCCAGACAGGAACCCCTCAGCCCACACTGTTGCTGCTGCTGTGTCTTCATATCCCTCCCTCCTCCCGCCAGCCAGCGTGCTCCCTGCCCACCTGTGCGCCTTGACCCGCAGCCACCGGTTGGTGTTGACAGGCACAGTGGAGCGAAGCACCACGGGCTGGGAGCCCAGGTCATAGGTCATCTGCAGGTGCCCATCCACGATGGCCAGCGCCATGTAGTCTGCTCGCTCCGTGGCTATGCCACTCCACAGGACCAGCCCCTGTGTGGCCTCTGTGCGCAGGCTCAGCTCAAAGTGGTTGCTCTGCAGTGCCTTCTCACTGCGGGAGGACGGACAGAGTCTCACAAGGGGACAGTGACTGCCACCCCCAGGCCCCAGGGCCATGACTGCCAAGGCCGCCAGGCTGGGGAGGGTGACTCAGGGAGTTGTGGACGGGTAGATGGACAGACGTGGACAGTGAGGCAAAGAGATGGACAGGAACAGATAGGCAGACACAGAAGCAGAGGGCCAGGGGAGATGAGGTGGCTGGTGGAGGGACAGCGAGGCAGAGAGCATGATGGCTGGACAGAGATGAGAGGGCGAGAGCGGGCGGCAGGGAGGCAGCAGCCCGGTCCCTTGGGCACTGCCACATGCTCACCTGTGAGAGGCCCCGGGATCCGGAGCTTCGGGGCTTAGAAGTGGGAAGAGAGGGAGGCAGGTGAGCAGGGGACAGACAGGCCAAAGCACAGGGGAGAGGCTTGGCCACCCACCCCCACAACACCCCACTGTGAACGCTGGACAGTGAGAGGAACAAGCGTCCGGAGGAGACATGCAGTATCCCGGGCACTGGCTCTACCCCTCAAAGAACCCCGACAGTGACACACGAGACACACATGCGACACGTAGCCGGTGGGCAGGGCCCACGTCCAGTGCAGGGCTCAAGAGGTGAGGTATGGGGTGCCATGGAATGGAGCTCAGGGGACACCAGCCCTCGAGAGGTCCAGAAATGCCTGCATACTTACACACATGAGCACAGTGCTCACAGATTTACACCCACGTGTGCACAATGTGCTAACCATAAGCTTGGCAGTTTGAATCCACCAGCCGCTCCTTGGAAACCCTATGGGGCAGTTCTGTTCTGTTCTATAGGGTTGCTGTGATTCAGAATCAACTCGATGGCAAGGGGTTTTTCTTGGGTGCACACATATGCACACAACAGCACCCATGTGTACACATACTGCACACACACACACACACATATCCACACACACACGTGCACACTTGTGCTGCTGCTTCCATGGTGAAGGGAGTGGCTGCATGGGTGGATGAGGTGCCCTGACCCTCGGTGAAGGGTGTCCTGGTGCCGGTGGGCTTCCTGAGACCAGGCGGCACAAATCCTGGGAATGGGTGACTGCCCACTTCTGAGGTGGGAAATGGAGCCTCACAGAAGCACAAACACCAGCCCCGGCCCCCTCCTCCTCCATCTGGAATGGGGGGACTCAGAACAGAGATAGCAGGTGGGCAAGGGAGCAGAGGCGGATGGATGAATGTGAGTGTGGAAGCGCAGGTGGGCCGGGGGTGGGGGGCTACTTACGCTGGGATCTCATTAGTCAGTTCGCTTGGAAACAAAGAGACAGAGACAGTGAGAAGGAAGAAGAGGTGACAGCAGTGGGCAAGGGCGGGTGCCAGGCTTTCCCTCCTGGCCACGAGACCACGACACCTGACAGTGAGTGCCTGCACAGCAGATAGGACCAGACAGACCACAGAGGGTGGGGTGTTACCTCTCAGTCACAGCGTTGAGGTACTCAATGTAGGTTCGCCCATCGAAGGCCAGCGTGTCCAGGTCCCCTGCTGACTTCTCGATCAGCCCTGAGACACAGTGGGTGAGGGGAGGCCTCGGCAGGGCTTCCTGTCCCAGGGCCCCCACATCCCTGCACCCCCGTGTGCTCACCCTTCTCGCAGTGTGGCCCCGAAAAGCCCGCAGGACACAGGCACTCGTACTTAGCCTCCCGTGGGAGGCAGGAGGCCCCATTGAGGCAGGGGTGGCCTGAGGGCCGGGTGCAGGGATGGTCCACAAAGGATGAGACATCCACCATCCGCAGCAAGTTCTCCTTGGTCAGCAGCTGGCGGCCTTTCAGGGAGACCTGTGGGGATGGCGGAGCCTCTGTGCTGCCACCTACCCTGCATGTAGCCCCCACCTCAGGAGAGCATACCAGAAGGACAAGATCCCTGGACAGGCCCCTCCTTGGAACCCCTGCCCCCCCCATCCTGAAGAGGGCCCCTCATAGGCCCCACCCCAACTTGGGAGAGCCCCATGCTAAGATAGGCCCCCCTGGAAAGCCCTTCCCCACTGGGTTAGATCCCCCTGCCCTCTCCTGGAAAGTCCCCTACAGACCCTGCCCCCCAGGTACCATCTGGATGGCGCCGTCAAAGCCTGTGGATACAGCAGCAGCCCGGGCCAGCTTGCTGAAGTCAGGGACACCCCCAACGTAGAGCGGCTCCTTCAGGTTGAGGACCGTGTGCGGCACCTGGGGGAGGCACTGGGTGAGGGGCCTGTGGGGACCGCTCACTGGGCAGGGACAGGGATGCTGGGCCAGGTGAGCCCACCCAGGGCACCGCCTTCCTGCCACGGGCCCAGCCCGCCTATCTGGGAGGCAAGTTAGTCACAGGAACAGCCGCCGGGCTCCTTAGTGGGGGTGGGGGCTACTCTACGGAGGAGGAGGCGGCAGACGGTACCTTGCGGGATTTCTGAGATCCGAAGAGCGGGGTGGGGGTTGCAGAGCGAGAGCCAGAGAGCAGTGAGCAGAGAGAGAGACGGACAGACAGACCGGCCAGGGCACAGACAGGGAGAGAGAAAACAGTTCAGTGAGAGCTGGCGGGGCAAGGCTGCGCACGCCCGAGAGGAGGAGCCAGAATGGAGGGGCGGGGACTCACCGGGGACTCCCCCAGCACTCGGGGCCCATCGCCAACACGCAGGGCACCCTTGCGGCCACTGCGCTCCAGCGAGACCCGGGTCCAGGTGCCCAGGGCCACTGGTTCCTTGCTCCTAGTTGGGAGGGGGCATCGTGAGCAGATCTTGCCCCTGCCTGCCTCCCACCCACCTCAGTGTCCCTGCGGCTGCTCACCTGATGACTGCTGCCCCCTTGCCCAGGTCGTATCGGAACTCCAGGTGGCGGCTGTGTAGCGCCAGGGACACAAAGTCCCCCCGGCCGTCTGTCTTCTGCCCATTGTAGAGGAGCAGGCCGTTGGGGCCACGGGCCAGGAAGACTACCTCCAGCGCCATCTTCTCCCTGGGGTCACGCAGGGTCACATGGGGTCCTCTTATCATTCCCTCCATGGCTGAACCCGTTGGCTACCTCTCCTCCCCCACCCCCTGGCCCACTGACCCCAGGTCACGCTCAAAGGTGTGGAGGCCTTTCAGCTCCAGGTAGGAGAAGCCATTGAAGTCAGCCAGAAAGGGCCAGGAGTCATCCTGCTCTGAGGCTGTGGAGGGCAGGAGATAGGGTCACACGGGGCGCCAGGGCCCCGACCCTTGGTACCTGCCCAGGTTCCCCACAGTCCCCTACCCACCCTGCATTCCTGTGCCAACCTACCTCAAAATCTAATTCTATCCCAGATCTGAACTGGAACTCCAACCTTGACCCTCTGAACCCAAACCTGAAGACTATCTCTAACTCGAATGTGAACTCTCGATCCTAACTTCTAACCTTTGATCCCCACCCATCCCTGTGGCCCTCACCTATCTCGCAGAGGGCACCCCCGCGTCCCAGGGGGCACTCGCACTTGGCTCCACCCCCGGGCAGCACGCGGCAGGGGGCTGCCCAGTGGCAGGGGTTGGGAAGGCAGGGGCTCTTTTCATCAGCGCAAGTCGGGCCTGGAGGGGATAGAAAGGGTCTCATGAGGCTCGAGCCCCCGCCCCAGACTTCCAGCACCCCCACACAGTCCTCACCAAAACGGCCGGGCGGGCACTGGCAGAGGAACATGTCGTCCTCCAGGGCCTGGCATGGGGCGTCACCATGACAGGGATTGGGCAGGCAGGGGTCATTCCCGCACTTGCCCACACCAGCACTGCGGGCTGCAGCCCCCGGACTACTCAGCTCCAGCTGCTGGTTGTTGATGTCCAGTAGGCGGATGCAGCCCCGCAGGCCAGCGCTGACTGAGGTCCGCTCTAGCACCCTACGGTTCAGGAAGAGGTCAGAGGTCAGAGCCAGAATTCAGAGGCATCCTCTCCAGCAGCCAGCTTCAACTCACACATCCCCCAGTAAGCCAGGGTTAGGGGTCAGGGTCAAGGCTGCCCCCATTCCATACCCCTACTCCTCTTCAGTGTTCACAAGGTGGCCAATATCACAAATAGGGCAGAATCAGGAGGTGGGTTGAGGGTCAAGGGTCGGGACTGATGGTCAGGGCCAGGCCAGCCCCTCCTCAGTGGTCACCCAGCAACCTGCTCCTCAGGGACGCCACCCACAGATAGTACAGGATCAGGGTCAATGGCCAGGGATCAAGGTCAAGGTCAGGGCCACAGCATCCTCCACACCAAATCCCCCACCCCTTTGCTGTCCAAAGGGTAGCCTGGGACTCTTGGAAACTGCCCATAAGCCCATAAGAGAGAGGATCAGTGGTCAGGGGTCAGGGCCACCCCCCTGGTTCTCACACAGTGGCCTGGTCCTCGGGAACACCACCCACAAAGAGGTCTGTGTCCAGGTTGAGACCATCAGTGCCACTGGGGCTTTCGCCAAGTACGGGGGTCTCGCCATCCACTGAGAGTGTCCCCTGGCGCCAGTGCCGTGACAGCTCCAGGCGGTGCCAGCGGCCTGGCTCAATGGGCACCGAGCTGGTTAGCACGGCAGGCCCAGAGCCAGTGTCAAACCTGGGGAAACATGGGATGGTACTCTGGACGGCCATCTGGCCCCCTCAACCTCGCTTCCTCCTTGCTCTGCCCCAGCCCCACCCCCCAGGCTGCCCCTGTTCAACCATGGCCCCTCCCCAGCCCTGTCCTGCCCACCTGAGCTGCACGCGTCCCCCCAGCAGAGCCAGCGCGAGGAAGTCCTTGCCACGGGCATTGCCATTGTAGAGCAGCAGCCCCTGTGGTTCCAGCGCCCGGAACTCAAGTGCCAGGCGCAGTGTGTGGTAGGCGCGCAGTGTGGGGAAGGCCAGGAAGGAGTGGCCCCTGAAAGCTGGCACCGCAGGGCGCAACACTGTGGGGCAGTGGGGAGGGTCAGGCCAGGGGAGGGAAGAGAAACCCACCCTGTACACCTCCCACTCCCCAGCCCCGTGACCACCCCTCACCCAGCTTGTCCCCCCACCCTTAGCCCTGACCCACTCCCCTACATCCCCAATTTGCTCTCCTACCCGTCTCGCAGACAGTGCCCCCCCTGCCCAGGGGGCAGCTGCAACTGAAAGCCCGGCCAGCATCCCGGTCTTGGCAGGTCCCACCGTGAAGGCAGGGCTGCGAGTCACAGGGCTGTGGGGGCCGTGGGGTGCCTGGGAGCAGGGGCCGGCGTCCAGGCACATGGCTTGGGGTAGTGGTGGAGGGCCGGCGGGTGATGGTGGGGGCTGTGGTTCTGCTGAGGCTCATGTGAGTAGGGTACAGGGCCCGGGGGGTCACAGAGGCAGAGGGCAGGTGGGCAGCAGTAGTGGCTCCAGCCATGGCAGTGGTGGCTCCCGGGGTGAAGAATGCAGGAAACCAATCTGGGGGGGAAAGGGGGTTCATAAGGGGATGGGTAGTGAGGTGGCAGAGCTGAGGGACATAGGCAGGGAGGGGGCAGACCTGGAGGCACTCACCGAAGTCCATGAAGTGCACGTGCTCCTGCAGTGGCCTCTTCACCACCAGGGACCTGCGCCGCGATGCCTGGATCTGCCTGACCAAGGCTCGTCCCACGTCGGGTGCTCTGAAGGTCGTGGCTGAGGAAGAAGGGTGCTGAGCACAGCGGAGTGGGCACAGAGCCCATCACCTCCTGCGAGGGACTTGGGGGTACAAGGGCTCACTGGGATCAAAGTGGGCATCCACGATGGCACGGACTGAGTTGCCAGGCCCCAGGTCCCGCAGGCGCACGCTCCGGAAGTCCTTCTTTACATCCGAGTTCCGGAAGAGGTCATCCAACTGTGGGCAGGGAGTGGGCACAGGACTCTTAGGGGTGCCTGAGCCTGGCTGAGATCTGCCCCCTGGCTGTCCTGCTGTACCTCCTGCCCGCTCCCCCCCCACCTCTCTGGGTCTGTCCTCTGTCCTGGGACTTGCACCCTGCCTCACGCCCGTCCTTACTGCACTCTCGATGCTCCGTGCCATCTCCCCAAACAGCTCCGACTTGGGGTCAGCCATCTCAGGCGTGTAAAACAGCTCCTGCCCCTCGACCTCGTCGAGCTCCAGCACGCCCTGGAATGCCTTGGTGGCTGCAGGGGAGAGGGCAGTGAGGCCCTGCTTAGCACCCGCCTGGCCTCCCAGCCGGCCTCCGGCACGGCGGGCAGTAAGCCACGCGGGGGCAGGGGCAGGTGGAGGTTAGTCAGATGGTGATGAGGTTAGTGGGAACCCCTGGACGGGGACTGGCATCAGTTACCACACAGACTCCTCGGGGCAACGCCCCAGGCCGGCTGACGACGAGAGAGACATGTTAACCACGGGTCTTAGGCACACACACGTGTGGAGGCTGAGACCACGCACACGTGTGCAGAGGCCAAGACCATGCACACACGTGTGCAGAGGCCAGAAGACCATCAGCAGACGTGCACCAGCCACGCCCAGACCACTCTCTGGGGTCTCGCCCAGTTCCCCAGCCCCGCGGTCGCCTACTTACCTGGGCAGTTGGAGCCCTCTGCGTCCAGCGAGGCTGTTGTCCCATCTGAGCAACAGCCCAGAGGCGAGTTATAGCAGGAAGCCCTTTCAATGGGTGGTCCAGGGGTCACAGCACTGCCACCCTCGGGAAGCTCAAGTCCTGGGGAGACGCAGTGTGAGCAGAGCCCTGGGGATGCCCTGGGGGCCCTGCCCACCTGTGCCCCATGCCCGTGCGCACCCCCAGAGCCGGCTCCACTGGCCTCCAGGTCCCCACTCAGGTCCTCGTCGCCACTCCCACCATCGGCACTGCCTGATTCACCAAAGGCTGATGTGGCCAGGCTGGCCGCCGTGGAGGAGGCCGTGGGGGGCACAGTCAGCGCTGGCCGCCCTGTGGTCCTGGGTACGCTGGCTGTGGTCCATGGTCGTGCTGAGGGTCGAGGGGTGGGCTGGCTGTGGGGGGTACTACTAGGACCCAGGGAGAGGGCGCTGGGGGCGGCCAGCAGTGCCCCACGCGTGACAGGCCTGGTGGTGGCTGCAGGTGTCGGGTGGGCGCTGGGAGCGATGGAGTCTGCGAGGAGCAAAATTGGTGTGGAGGCACGTGAGGGGCAGGTGGGGGGCGGGGGCAGGAGGTCAGGACAAGGTCAGGCCTCTCTGGTTGGTACCGGGGCGGTGGATGCAGGGCCTCACCCTGGCAGGGCCCGAGGCTTTGGACAGAGATGTCCAGGCCCTGGCGGCAGGCGATGGTCCTCAGCTGACATTCGTCACCATAGGTGACGCCGTCTGACCCACAGACCTGTGGTGGCACAGGGTTAGGAGGCTCAGGTGGGCCAAAACTGTCCCCCATCCACCGCCGTCACCCGTCTCCCCACCCTCACCTTGGTTGCATTGGCCTCCAGACATGTGGGCGTCGGGCACACACAGCGGGCAGAGCCAGTTTCCTCCATGCAGGAGGCTCCAAACTCACAGTGCATCTCCGCACAGGTCACAGGTGCCACAGAGTCTGGGGACACAGATGCAGGAGCCCATGCTGGCTGAGGCAGCCCGGCCCCAAGCCAGGACCCCCCCCCCCATCACAGGGAGCCCAGCTGGCACTTGGCCTTGCCCTTACCTGCTTCACAGCCAGTGGGACCTAGGGCCCGGTCATCTGGACACTGCCCGCACTTGGGACCCGCCACCCCGGGTTTACAGGAGCATAGCCCGCTCATCTGCTCACAGTCGTCCCGCACGGCACCCCAGGGGTCACAGTTGCAGGCTGGGGTTGGGGGAGAAGCCGCCTGACGTCCAAGCCTCGATGGGTCCCCATCTGCTGATGGGGGCCCGTCCAGCCCCTGCCAGGTGTGGGACAGAGACTCTGGCCCAGGACACAGGTGAGGGTGGATACATGAACGACACAGATGGCCCTGGTCACTCACGGGTGCAGCCGCTCCGGCCATCGGTGACGATGCCACGGAAGTTCCAAAAGCCAGGCTCACAGCGGTCACACTTGATGCCCCCTACACCAGGGCGGCAGGAGCACTGGCCCGAGGCTGGATCACAGGAGCCACCATAGGCGCCGTGAGGGTTGCACTGGCACACACCTGCAAGACCAGGTTAAGAACATGGCCACATGCCCACACGCTCCCCCAGGGCTGGGGTTGGGCCGGGCCGGGTACTTACTGGGGCAGCCAGCTAGTCCCACGCCCCGGGCAGCAGTGACATTGTCCTGGCAGCAGCCGTAGGGTGTCTGGGTGCAATGTAGGGGAGCCATGGGCGGCAATGGGGCGGCAGTAGGGCCTGCAGAAGGAGCACGGGGTTCAAATTGGGGCCTGGGCCCCCACCTCAACCTCTCCCCACCCTCCTGATGCCAACTCCCCACCAAACCTGGGGGCCGTGGGGCTAGGGTCACAGGGGAAGACCCCACATCACATAGAAGGACATGTCTGCACACACAGGACCCCGTTCACACAGAACATACAGGACCACATACACAGATAACACAAAAAACACATATGACCATGTGTGCACAGAACACAGGACCATGAACACATAGGACCACATGCATACAGAGCACACGTGGCCATGTACACACAGGACACACAGTAGCCTGTGCACACTGAACACACAAAGATCACGATGACACAACCCTGTGCACACACATATAACCAGAGTTATGCACCCACAAATAAGTGTGCAGTGTGCACACACACAAAAACGTGTGCACACATTCATTCACATACCTTCAAAACCACACACATTCACATACACACTTGTACACACACAACTGTGTGCACTTGTGCATAAGTGCATAGCAAACGTGACGTGTTGAGTCATCATCACTCCTTCCCCTTGCTCCCTTCTAAGAAATAGCACCAGGAGGCAGGGCCTTACTCAGTTCACTGCACCAAGACAAGGCCTGGCCTGCATGTGTGCTCAGTAAACTTGGCGGCTGGCAGGAACATGGTCTACATGCTGCAGCTGCACAAATATGTATGCACACCAATATGCATAAAACACACACGTACCCATGTGCACATGCACCTTGGAGCATGCACACACAGGGAACATGGGATAGCTGCATACACACCCATGTGCGTGCCCTCGCACAGACCCACAACATACCCTGCACCGTGTCCACTCACCTCGGCAGGCTCCCTGAGCCGCAACGTACAGTTCTCGCTGTGACTCGCACCTGGCCTTCTTTAGCTCACACTCAGTGCCATAGGTGACCCCATCAGAGCCACAAACCTGGAGGGGGGAGCTCAGTGAGGGCGGCCGCAGCCCCTTCTTGCAGCCACCCGGAGCCAGGGGAGGGGCCTCACTGGGTTCCGCAGGACACTCTGGCAGCTGAAGTCACAGACACATGGCCCATCCTCTGAGTCCTCGTCCCAGACACCGCCACGCTGCCGGCACAGCTCGGGCTCACACTCACCATCCTCCCCGGAGCCAGAGCCTCCTGAACCGCACTCAGCTGTGGGCAGGGTGGGAACAACCGTCACTGTGTGGTCCTCGCTGGGGCACACAACCCTCCCCAGCAGCCCCCAGAGCCGGGGCCTACCCAGCTCGCAGGGCCCTGCCCGGGCCTCCTCGATGTGTGTCTGCTGCCGGCAGGATGCCTCGCGGAGCTCGCATGAGCTACGGTAGGTGATGCCATCACTGCCGCACACAGGGCCAGGTGGGGGGTGCTCGCACTGCGGACATACGCATTGCCCCGCCGAGCACACGGCCCCAAAGGCACACACCATGTCCCCACAGGCTTCTGCAGGCAAGGAGCTGAGTCAGCAGGGTCAGCGGGCATGGAGTGGGGGCTACCGCCCGGCTGCCCTGCCCACTCACGGCAGTGTCCAGCTGTGGCCACGTGAAGGCTGATCTGGCGGGTGCAGGCAGCCACGTGCAGCTCACACTCACTGGCGTAGGTGCGCCCATCGGAGCCACACACAGGCTGGGCCGAGGCCACACACTCAGAAGGGCACACACAACGCCCTGTCTCCGCCTCACACAGGGCCCCGAAGTGGCACTGCCCACAGCGGTCTGGGGAGGCGGCTCCATCACCACACAGCCAGGAGCCCCCCACCCACCCCTGCCAGGCACCCCACCCACCACTGACCACAGGGCCCTCTTCTTGCCACACGTGTCTCTCGGCCAAGGGCACAGGCCGTGGCTGCCAGCTCGCACGCGCTGCCATACGTGATGCCGTCACTGCCGCACACGGGGTCGTAGATGCCTGGGCATGCCTGCGGGCACTCACACGCAGCCTCGCCGTTCTTCACGGCGCACATTGCCCCAAATGGGCACTGAACCCCGAGGCACGGGGACGGGGGCTGGCCTAGGGGCAGATGTGGCACTTAGCAACCATCATCCCTCGCTAGGGACAAAAGCCCCCCCACGCAGCAGACCCTCCCAAGTGGGGTACGGTGGCGGACGAGCGTGGGCCAGGGAGAGGGATCAGATGCACAGGACACAGCAGAGAGAGGGACAGAAACACAACAGACAACAAGGGACAGGGACACAGACCTAAGCGTCACCAGCCGCAGCCCTGGGTGTGAGGTATGGGCAGCTGCCCCCAGACACAGGGAACTTTCTGACCACCCATCAGAGCCACAGGGAAGGGCCTGGTCAGGCCCGCCCAGCCCCGTCCCTGGCCCCTGACACCCACTGCAGGAGGGCTTTCCCTTGTGGGCATGGGGAGTCCACACCCCGAGTCACACCCAGGGCCACACGGGGGGGGGTGTCTGTCAACTTGCTCTGGGGACTGCAAGGCCAGGCAGCAGCGAGCACCCCTCCCCCCTGCCGCACCAGGGGCCGACCTCGGGCTGCGGGCTCCGGGGTGCAGGCGCAGCACCTCCTCCTGCCAGTAGGTCGGCTGGAAGACACAAGAGGCGGAGCCAAGAGCGGAGGAAGGCCCGCGGGGCAGACAAACGGACGCAGAGAAAGACAGGAAAGACGGACAGAGAAAGGGACGGTGGGCAGAGACACCCCTGCCCCGGCCCACGCAGGACACGCTCCAAGCCCAACCCCAGACTCTGTTCCCTAAGAGGGCAAGGCCCTATCACATCCATTCCCATCCACTCCCCCACCCCGAGGCTGCAGCACAAGGTAGACAGACAGACAGACTGACCAGAGGACTCAAAGGCAGTAGTGGGCCTGCACAAGGACCCCTGCCTCCACCCCTTCCCTATCCCTTAGGCATCCCGGGTGCCCCCTTCATGGCCTCTCTCCCTGCCCCAGCCCCCAGTGGCCCGCCCCACAACCAGGACCCAGGGAGAGCATGACTTGGATGCAGATGGCATGTGATGGGGGACGACAGGGACTGATGTGGACCCAGGTGGGTGCAGGCAGGGCAGGCGCTCACCACACGGGCCCTGGTGCCTCACAGGGATGGTACGCTGCTGCTGGCACTCAGCTTGGTGGAGCCAGCACTCGTTGTCATATGTGTGCCCATTCTGGGCACACACTGGCTTGTAGGCGCCATCACAAGTGACTCGGTCGCAGGAGCAGCGGGTGCGACCCCGGCGGGACAGACACACAGCATGAAATTGGCAGGGCTCCAGGCATTGGTCTGCAGTCGAGCAGCAAGGACACCACTGAGCGGCCGAGTCTTGGACGCAGGGAGTGGGAGGTCCCATGGGCCTGGGGATGTGAGGCATGTGGAGGTGGGGAGAAGTAGGTCTGTGGTCCCCCACCAGAATTGCACCCACCTCGTGGATGGCACTGGCCGGAGCGAACTTTCTGGAGGAGGATGCCATGGGCAGCCCCAGTGCGGCCCATCACACAGTCGCTGTCATAGGTGACACCGTCGTCACCGCACACAGGTGCCTGCCGTGGGGGGCAGCTCTCTGGCCGCAGGAGCATCTCCGGCTGCCGAGTGCGAGGATTCACCCGGCACATGTGGCTCAGGTCGTCGGGGGTGCCCTGGCAAGGGTCTGGGGGTAGCAGGTGACATCAGAGCACTGCTCCCCTGACTGCACAGAGCATGCACATGCCAGGTACACACCACACGCAGAAGCAGTGCTCACCGCAAGGGCCGTCGAACTTCTTGAAGAGGTTCTCCTGGCGGGCACAGGCACGGCGCAGGAGCTGGCACTCGCTGGGGTAGTCAGCACCGTCGCTGCCACACACTGTGCCCTCGGAAGCCCCTGGGCAGGAGGTGGGGCACAGGCACACGGCTGTCTGCCCGTCAGCCGAGCGGGTGCAGGTGCTGCCGAAGCTGCAGGTCACGTTGGAGCAGGGATCCCGGGACCCTGTGGATGGAGAGGGGTGGGGGTCCAGGCTGGCTGGACCCAGCTCACCAAGCCCCCCTTTTCACAGAGCTCCACCCGACTCTGCAGCCTCTACCGCTCACTGGGCCCCACCGGCTACTATCCCCACCCCCAAGCCCCAGGCCCCACCCTGCCCCTGGTCTCTGCTTCCCTGGCCCAGCCTCCTTGCCAGCCCCTCACTAGGCCCCACCTCCCACTCACCAGGCCCAATCCCCACTCACAAGCCCTGCCCTGGCCCCGCCTACCCTCCCCTAGGCCCAGTCCCTTCACCAGGCCCCAACCTCACCAAGGCCCCACCTCTCACCAGCCCCACCCACGCACACCGGGCCCCTCCCCCCCACTCACCGCAGGGGCCGCGGCTTAGCAGGCGAATGCGGCGCTGCTGGCTGCACTGTGCCCGCTGTAGCTCGCACTCGTTGCTGTAGGTGGAGGCGTCGGAGCCGCACACGGGGGCCACCACGCTGGGGCAAGCGCTCTTCTTGCACACGCAGGAGGCTCGGCCTGGGCCCTCTGCACTCAGCTCACACACGGCACCGAAGCCACACAGCATCCCCCGGCACGCTGGAGAGGTAGGGAGGGAGGATCAGAGCCAGACCCACCAGATGCCAGGGTCCACGGTCACAGTGCCAGGTTTTCACGTCCACACACCTGCCGAGCACGCGTGCTACACGCAGTCCAATCATATAAACCCCCACGGACACTTGTATACAAGCACACTCATGTCCACACATGCTCACATGGGAACACGCGTGTGATCATCACCGCCATGCGTGCACTCATGGGGACGTTGCACAGCACATTATGTCCACCTGCGTGCATGCCAAACACGTCTGTACACACCTCCACTCCCCCCTCACATGTGCCTCACATTATCTGCAGGTGTGTACACACCACATAAACTTTGGCACACACACTGCACATGCTCCTGCACACACTCCTGCATACATGTAAACGCTGCACACACTCCTGCACACACCGGGCCCCGCTGTCCTCTCTGCAAGCCCCTCTTTCTTCCTGCATCCTCCCTTTCCCACCTTGCCTGCTTCTTGAGGTGCCTCCCCTCTGGAAGCACCTTCCTTGGCCCTGTCGTCCCCACGTGGACCCTGCCTCTTCTGTCTCTTCCCTTCTCCCCTAAACTGGGAAGAAGGAGCCATCCTCATCCCTCTCCCATCTCCCACTGCCCACCCCAGCCCACCAGCCAGCCTCCCCCAGATCCACACCCTCCATGGGCCTCTGTGGCTTGGCTCTCCAATATGACCTCTCCGAGGGCACCAAACTGGCCCTCCAGCCTTCCCAGGCCTCCCAGCCCAAGCCCCTGAACCGCCCCTGGCCCCACACTGCCCCCTTCCTGCCCACTCCTGGGTCCTGCTGCCTCCACCTGGGCACTCAGCACCTGAAACCCAACCCATCCACAGTGACCTTTTGGGGCAGGGGTTGAGCACTGCGGCTTTGAGGGTCACTTTACTTTCTAAATATTTTAATTAACATCATAGGACGTCAACAGCCAGCATGGACTGAGAGCTGACTGTGTGCTGGCACGGGCGGGCCCTGACCACAGCTCTACACCAATCCAGCGTTAGCTGCTCCTGACCCCTATCTGGTGGCAGAGGAATGGGGCTCAGTGAGATTAAGGGACCACCTGTGGGCCCCCAGGCTGCGGGGCAGAGCCTACTGAGCGTAAGAGCTACTTCTCCACCTGAAAGAACAGTGTAAGAGACAAAGAACTGTGGGCAGACGTTTAAGCTCATAGGCCTGAGCGCCAGCCCCTCCCTCCCAGGTATAGATGGAGGCCTCAGACGGGGCAGGGGCAAGCTGAGTCCTCCACCACCCCCACCCCGTACTGGCGCCTGCTGGACTGCCATCTATGGGCGGGTGGGGTGGGCCCATTAAGGTCTACAGCTGTCTGGATCCAACAAATGTTCAATTTGGTCTAATTATCATTAATAAGTCATGGGGAGAAGGGTGTGGCTCCTCATCCACCCATCACCTCCCAAAGAGCTTGGGAAACAGGGCAAGAAGAGGCGCCCCCACCCCCATCTCCAGGGGAGGGAGGGCTGCATGGGCCCAGGAGCCAGCTGTTTCCATGGCAACGGCCCTCCTGGAGGCAATGGCTGGCTGCGTCTGTCAGAGCATCCCCACCCCCACCGGCACAGGCTGGGTGAACACAGGGTGGGGCTTGCATGGTCCCTCACCCTGCAGTCCTGCAACAACCTGACCGTAGCTGCAAGTGGACCACGGGCCATTGACAGGAGGAGGATTCTCACCCACAGCCCATGCCCCTCCCCTCCATACTCCTGTCCTCCTTCCCCATCTGCCCAAGGTGGCCAGGATGCCCCCAGCTCTGCATCATTTGTCATTATTGCCTCATTGTGCCTCAGTTTCCCCACCTGTAAACAATAGGACCTACCTATAGGGCTCCTAGGAGGTGCCCACAGTGCGCAGAACGTAGCATTAGGTGCCGTATCAGCTATCGATGACCGCTACTACAGTGACAAGAGCTGCTGTCCCCCTTACCACTCCCTCTGTCCTAGCTGAGATCAAACTCAAGCTGTGTCCACCCTTGACCCCTCTCCATGCCTTCCGGTCTGCCCTCTCTTCTCTGGCTCCAGTCTTCCCTTCCCAGGTCCCCGGCACCTCCCAGACCCATCCAACAGGCACTTGCTGATGTCCAGCTGGCTACTCCATTTGGCTTCAGCTCGCTGCTGGTCACCACACCCTCCAGTCACCACGCCCTCTGGTCACCACACCACCCAATCACCATGCTGCCCAGTCACCACATCCTCCCGGTCACCACATCTTCCGGTCACCATGCCACCTGGTCACCATGCTGCGTAGTCACTACACTACCCAGTCACCATGTTCTCTTGGTCACCACAACATCCTGGTTACCACACTCTCTGGTCACCACACCACCTAGTCAACACATCACCTGGTCACCACGTTCTCTTGGTCACCACAACCTACCGGTCACCAAGCGTCCTGATAACCACATTCTCCTGGTCACCAAGCCCTCTGGTTACCATGCTGTCTGGTCACCACGACTTCCTAGTCACCATGCTGCCCCATCATCATGCCACGTGGTCACCACACCGCCCGGTCCTCCTCCCTGACCAGGCTCCCTGTTGGCTGCTATGCTCTCCAGCTGGGTCTCCCTGTCTCTGGCCCCTGTCTCTCCCTCTGGTCACCTTGCCCCCGCCCTCCACCAAGGCTCCAGTGCCAGCTGCACAGAGGCCCAGCCAGACCTCTATCCCTGCACCCAAACCCATGGCCAACAACACCTGCCCCTGATGACAAGTATGCTCTTCGCTTGTACTCCTCATGGCCCTGCTCAGAGGTGGTTTCCCCAAGACAGCCCTGGGAATAACGGTAACTATGACAGCGGCAGCCAGCTTGCGATGAGCATGCCCGCCTGGGCCTAGGCCGGGCATGGCTTATTCATGGCAGAAGCCATTCTAGAGAAAGAGGGAGCCATAGACCAGGTATCCGAGACGGGCATGAGAGGGAGGTGGCAGGAGGTGGGCAGCAGCAGGAGGTGCTAGGCTACCCAGGCCTGAAGCCCCTGTGTGGAGGGTGGGTCTGGGGGTGGGAGGCCAGTAATATCCTGGGGGTGGACTCCAAGGGACTTGCTGCTGGACTGGACATGGCTGAGGGGAAAAGAGGGGCCCATGGTGTCCGGGGGGACAGAGACCCAAGGCTGGAGCACTGGCCCCCGAGTCAGACAGGTGGGGGCAGGTGCCGGCTCCTAGCCCCCTCAGCTAGGGCAGCAGATTCCTTGGCCATGCAGGAAGGTGCTGCCCTGGACTGGAACACTCTACTCCTTCCCTGCCCTAAATAATATCTCCTTCTTCCCAAGATTTAGCTCAGAAATCACAGCCTCCAGGAAGCCTCCCCATTCCTAGGCTGGGGCTGTTCATGATTGCCCATTTACATGCCTGCCTCCCCCGTGGGCTAGAGAGCACAGAAGCACGTGTTTACTGATGGAACATAAAAATGTGCACACACACAGAGACCACACATAGACAAGTACACACAAGAGAGAGCACACACAATGCATGTGTACACTCAGATGCACGTGCATTCAAACAGGCAAACATTCACACCTGCATGCACCTGCAGGCAAAAACATGCACACACACCCAGGCACACAAACACAAATGTACATATTCATGTACACATAAATACACATGAACACATGTAAGTGCACAAACACACACATGCAGGTACAGATCATCATAGCAACCATGCTCTGCCTGTGCCAGGCATTGTTCTATGTGTCATATCTTAATTGGCTCATGTACCATTCTGCACACACACACATGCATGCACACACACACACTCATGCCCATTTTGCAGAGGAGAAAGCTGAGGCACAAGCAAGGTCCCTTAACACAATCACATTGCTGTAAACGGCAGAGCCACTCTGGCCTGCACACCTACTCCCTGCCCACGCTGCCCTATGAACACAGGAGGTGCACTGGGCACCTGTGAGCTGTGAGGTCACCTCTGGGCCCTGCCATGGTCTCCCCAGACCAGTCTCCTGCTAGCGCCCCGTTCTGACCGCTCAGCCCCCACAGTCCCACTCCCCACGTGCCCGTGTAGTAAGGCCTCCCTCATGACGCCAGAGGCAGCAGTGGCTTTTTATAGCCAGCCGTTTGGCGCGGGCTATATTTAACTGCCTCCTGGTCTTGGGTGGGGAGAGGATGCCCCAGCCTTGTCTTGGCCACAAACATGTGGTGTGTTGGTGTGTGTGGTGATGCCATGGCATGTAGCAGTCTGAATGTGCAGGGTGGGATGGTGTGTCACTGCGGGGAGGGGGCATGTGTAAAGGACAGGAGAGGCCCACCAACCTTTGGGGCTTCGGGAGAGGGGCTGTGGGTGTTGGGAGAGGGGAGGGCGGCCTCACTCCTGAGCCCACTCCTAAATCTAGAAGTCTCCAGGCTTCCTCCCCACAGGCTATGGGAACCAGAGCAGCTCTGCTTCCCTATCCCTGGGACCAACAACACCACCCTCCACTGTCCTGCTAGACTGGACTTGTCCGAGACACACCCTCCTGCCCCCAGTGCTGGGGCTACGGGAGGGAAGGGGGGCCTGGGCCAAGCGAGGGTCCCTGTGCTCTGTGCCCTCATGCACTATGGTTGTATGTTGTGTGGTCCCTGCGGGGGAGGGGGACAAAGCCCCACAGGCAGAGGCCCCCTGAGGTCATAAGATCCGCTACCCCGGCCAGACAACTCTGGCTCTGGGGACAGGTCCCTCCCCACAGGCCAAGTTTGGGGCTCTGAGGGTTCCATGGGGGCTTGTGGAGGTAGCCCGAGGGGTTCTGTGGGGGAACCAGGGCTGAGGTGCACCAGCTGCAGCCTGGAGCCTCCTGGGTGACAGAGGATGCAGGGAAAGCCCTTGGCTGGGCCAAGGGACAGAGGGAGGGGAGCCCTGACCCGGCCAGCCCCAAGTCCCGCACCCCCAAGACCCAGAAAGGGACCCGACTAATTATGCAAACCAGGGGCACATCCAGGGAGGAAAGCCCAGGGCCCCCCATCGCCAGGGCGAGACCCACATCCCCATGAAGTCTATGAACCTGGATAGGACCCACCTGCTGCCTAGCAAGGTGCCCCAGTGGGGGGCAGATCCCTGGGAAGTCCCGGAAGGGGGCAGGGCAAAAACACCCCTTCTCAACCCTTAGGACCCACTGGCCCCACCCTCGCCCCCACTCCCCTCTGTCATCCTTACGGTAGCACTAACAGCTTCCTTTCTTCCCTTCCACATTAGCTTAATGGAGGCTGCCTACATGCAGCAGACCCCAGGGAGGCTGGTCTCACCCCACAAAGCAGGTCAAGAGGGCCAGCCCCGCTCCCTTCATCATCATGCCTCCCCCGCCACCAGCCAAGGTCTGCTCAGTCAGTCTCAGGGACAGACCCCAAGCCCGCAAGGCCCCTCCCCAGACAGCTGGCCGTCCTGCTGAGGGCTGCCAGCTCCACCCCCCAGAGCATATCTGTCCAGTCCTGTCCCCGTCCATACACACTTTCTGAGGTCCTCTCACAGCCTGTGGGTTGCAGGGACTTGGTCTCAGTTTCATGACCAGGAGGCGGAGGCCCAGAGAAGTTAGCAACCACAGCCAGAGAACCAGAGGTACGGAGCCCGAGGGATTCCTGGCCCCAGGTTTCTACCACTGCCTCTCAGCTGGGAAGTCCCAGGAGGACCCTGGCTCCCTCATCCGTCTTCCTCACCTCTAGACATACCCTACACACCCCAAGAATAGCCTCCAACCCCCAAGAGTGACCACTGCCTCTCCAGGCACAAACCCCTCATCTCAGCTGAGGCCCCCACTCACCATCTGGAGGCGTCGGGGCTGCTGGTGTGAAGTGGGTCCCGGGTTTATCTGGAAGAAACAAATCTCCAAGTTAGGCACCACAGATCAGGTCCTCCCAGGGCCCTCCACTTGCCCTCTCCCAGCTCCTCCATGCCACCAGCCACTCAGCCCTCCAACTCTAGCCACCCACACCCCACCCCTATGCCCCAGCCACCCACACCCTGTCCTCTATGCCTTTATCCCCATGGCTCCTCCAAACCCCACCCTCCAGCCATGGCCAACCACACCCTACCCTCCATGCCCCCATTCCCACAGCCCCCCATACCCTACCCTCCATGCCCCACCCCCATGGCCCCCTCACCCTCACACCCCATTCTCCAGCTGCCTCACGCCCCACCCACCCACAAGCTGCCTTCTAGCCCCTGCCATCCACACCCTGTCCTCCAGCCTGTCATCCACACTCCACCTCCCATGCCCCCACTCCACAGCCCCCCACACCCCACCTTCTAGCCTCTGCCATCCAAGCCCTACCCCCATACCCCTATGTCCCCCACAGCCCCTCCATACCCTGCCTGGTCCAGCATTGCCCTTTCCAGCCCCAGCTACAGAGGTCCAGACTGGGGAGACCGGGAAGCAACGTGGTCCAGGCCCTGACCCTCACTGACTGGGAGGCCCTTGCTCTTCTCTGCCCCTCCAGCTGCAGGGTCATGACCTGACACCTGCCAGGCCAGCGGGTGCAGTGCAGCAACGTGCATGCTTCAATCCCACACCGCAACCCACTGCAGTCGGGGGCTCTCCCTCCCCAACTCCAGCAGAAAGTTGCTATTCAGGAGGGTCAGCCCCAATAAGACCAGGGTAGGCAGGCCTCAGGGGCCTGGGGTCCTGTCCCTAGAAGATGCCTGGGACCCTGCCTGCCCTCCAGTCCCTGGACGGCCAGGAGCTCAGTGGGCAGGAGAGGCCATTGTGCCAGCCCGGGGCCACCTGAGGGCCACGTACAGTTGCTGAGGAAGAGCAGGACGGCGAAGCCCAGTGTGGCGGTGGCCAGCAGGATCAGGCAGACGTTGCAGGGGACCATGAAGTAGCGCACCACCAGGGAGACTCGGCGCTGCTGCCGGGGGTCCCGCTCCAGTGGCAGCGGAGGCATGACCCAGGTGGCCCCCAGGGGCAAGCAGCCCCCGCGGGCGGGCAGGTCCTCACGGGGCACCCTTGGGCCTCTGTGGGGCTAACCCTCCCATGCTGGGACCCCCAGGCCGGGCGTGGCCAGCAGCTGTACTCACACCAGGGGAGCACAAGGCCCTCCCCAAGCTCCAGCTCTGTATGGGAGGAGCTGATTCTCCTGGAGCAGAAATCCCAAATTTGGGCTCAGAGGGGGGAGGAGGAGGGAACTGAGGGCCAGCGGTCACCCCTGCTGTGCACGACCCTCCCTGCTTCTGCTTGGCCCCTCTGCTCGGTCTTCGGTGGTCACCGACAGCCCTGCCAGCCGCCCCCCTGGAGAGGCTGGGGAGGACCCTCCTCGCGCGCAGAGTGGACCGACGGGCTTGGCTGGATGCGGCAGTCCGGCGACGGACGGCGCTCCCGCGGCGGCTCCAGTCCCGGAAGACGCGGGCGCGGCGATGGCAGCGGCGGGAGGAGCAACGCACGTCAGGAGGAGGAATAAAGAGCCGGTCGCGCGCGGAGGCCGCGGACTCCCGCCCAGGCAGCAGCACGGCCTCCCCGCACCGGGCAAGGCAGTGAGTGAGGGGCGCCGGGCGCCGACGGCGGCGGGTGGGGAGCAGACAAAGGAAGGTGCCTCCGGGGACCCGGTGTCCGCGGGGAGTCGCAGCTCGAGGAGCAAGAAGGATGGAGCGCCAGGCAGAAAGGTGGCGGGGCACAAAGGGGAACGCGGGGGAGGGTGTGTGTGTAGGGGTTTGGGGAGGAGGTTGGAGGGGTTGGGGCAGAGGTGAGGGCTAGGGGTTAGGGCAGGGGACTTGGGGGGGCAAAGGTGAGGAGTGGGAAGGGGGTTGGGGCTGGAGTAGGGGTGGGCGGGGGCGGGGCAGGGGCTGGGGCGGGACCTCTCCTCTCCCACCCCTCGGGTCTCTGCTGCCAGGGCGCGGCCGAGTGTGAGCACGCCGGGGGGCCGGCGGGGTCTCAAGTCAGCGTCTGGGAGGGTTTTAACGGGTCCCCGCAGGGAGGCTGAGGTCTGCACCAAGGACCCAGTTCTAGGCTGCGAGCTGTGTATGGTTGCGAGTGTCCCCCTCCTGTTGGCCCCACCCTGTCAGTGTGTGTGTGGGGGGGCAGGTGCGTACACACAGGTGGGGAGTGGGCTGGGTCACAAACAATAACCAAAGGGGTCCAAGCTGGAGGGTGGGGTGGGATAACGACCCAAGAAATCGCGTCGCCACCTTCTCCCCTAGGAATTGACAGCAACACCTTAAACCACTCCCCAACTCCCGGCGCCAGAGGAACACGCAAATGAGTTCCATGCAAACAAGCTGTATGCAAATAGAGGCCGGGGTCCCGCGAGCCTGGAGCGCCCCCCAAAGGCCTCCCCGGAAACGTCGCCGCCGTGACGTCACAGCGGGGCGGGGGCGCGCGGTGCGCTTGGAAGCGCTGGTTGTTCGTAAGGAGTCGCCATATGTGCCCCCCAAAAAAACACCCCTTCCCCTGCCCAGCTACAGAGGGCGAGGGTCCCGCCCCACCCACCGCCCTCTCCCAGCCCAGGCCTGCTCTCCCCTCCCCCTGCAAGCCCCGAGCCTGGCTAGGAACTGCCTCCGCCACAGCTTGGTCCCGGGTCCAGTCCCCACCGCCCACTCATGTCCTGCTCTGAAACCCGCCAGGGTCAGAATCCTTAGGTGACCATCTCCGTGACCAGCACCGACTCCCTGTTTACCGTTCCCGCTTCCCCACCTGCAAACTTCTCCCACACCACCCGAAGGCCTCTGGGAGGGACCTGAGGGCCCCGGGCCCCTACCACGCGGTGGGGCGGTCCCTCCTGCCTGGACCTCGTCACACACACCCGTGCGCCCTGCACTGACCTCTGCCCACATACCCCCTTCTCTGGCCGATCCCACCAGCCTCTTGTCCCCAAGGTACAGCCTGACCTCGGGCTTTGCGGGGCTCCTAGGGCCAGGCTGCACCCTGGCCCCATCCCAGGACCCCTGGGGTCAATCCCCTGCATGGCCGCTGACCTGTCACCCCAGCTGCCACACACACACACACACACACTTTCATACATTCACACACGAAGTCTCACTCATATATTCACTCTTGCACTCTCCCGTCCACATGCACACTCATACACTCACATGCACACTTGCACTCAACAGAGCACATTCACACATACAGTTCTATGCAAACATTTGTACGTTCACACACTTGCACTCATTCTCATACATTCACACACTCACATGCTCACTCATATATTCACACATGCACATTTACACTCACATTAACATGCACACACTCAGCACTCAGGCCTCTGGGGAAGGGTGGGCATGTGGGGTCAGGAGGTCCTTCTTCCAGTCAAACTGCTGTTGCTAGGTCACCCAGGCCACCCAGGGGTCGCTCTCAGGTTTCCTCTGATTCCATCTTGGGAAAGGGGTACTGACCACAAGGCCAGGGGCTCCCCTTCCCGGTGACCGCCCTACCTGGGGCCACCAGGATCTCCCTCACTCTGCACACAACCCATGGTTCCAAAGGCATCTCTGCGCCTGCAACTCCCCTGGCTGTCCTCGCTCTCCCACTTGGGGAAGCCCCTGGTGACAGTCTCACCACAGCCCAGAACTGCTGCCACTCCCTGCTGGAGGGAAGGGGTAGTGCTGCCTCTGACAGGCCCCTCAGACAGGGGCCTCCTGACTCCAAGCCTAGGCAGTGTCCCTGGCCACATGCTGCCCGAGCCCTGCATGCCTGACCCTGCATGCTGCCACTGGCAGCTGTGAGGCTTTGAGGGCAGCCCTGCAGCAGAGGAAACACAAACTGGGGCATGCATGGTGGGGGTGGGGGGAGGGTCTGGTGGCCCAGATGTTGAATGGGATCCCAGATGAAGCAGGGCATGCGTGGGGGAAGTGGTCTGCCAGCCTGCGGGGCTCTGAGTGGGGATACTGGATGAACCGGGGCATGCATGGGGGGTCTGCCAGCCCAGGTGTTGAATGGGATCCCAGATGAACCTGGGCATATGGGGGGGGGTGTCTGCCAGCCCTAGGTGCTCTAAGTGGGAAGCCCAGCCAGCTGCGGGCCCACGCTGGGGTAGGGTCAGGCAGGCAGGCCAAAGGCGGTGGAGGGTAAGCGGCAGCAGCCTGGCCCCACCTAGCCCCAGTCAGTGTCTGAGCCCCCCGCAGGGGTGGGGACCTTCAGGCAGACAAAGGGCCATTGAGGCCCCAGGCCCGTTGGGGGAGGGGAGCTCAGACTACTCAGGCTATTTTGGGATCTTCAGACCCAAAATCATTCAGCCCTGACCAGTCCACGAAGGCTCTGGTCGCGGATGGGAACAGAGGATGCTCTGAGCCAGGACCAGCCTGGTCTCTGGGCTCACACTCACTGTAACGCATGACTGCACATACCTGTACACACACACTAGATGTTCCAATCTCATACATGCATACAGACATGCATGTACACCTGCTCACCCAGGTTTGCACAGGCAGTGGGTGACCTCTCAAACACACACTCACCTGTGTGCACACAGTGTCCTTCACAAACAAGTGTGTCCCTAGTCCCCCCACACACATGCTAGGTGTTATGCACGGTGCACACACAGGGTCTGTTTCACACATACACGCACACGCGCTGTCCCTCACACATTCACCTGCATACATATACAGTGTGTCCTTCATTCCCCCCGTTGGATGTTGATCCCACCCACGTATGCTTGGGTGTACACACAGGGTGCCCCCTCACACACACCTGCATGCACACACACAGGATGTGCCTCGGGCTTCATGGGGCTCCTGGGGCCTCGTCAGGCGCTGTCACATGCGCCTCCCCCCCCAAGGACACCCACCAGCACACACGCAGCATGTCCTTCAATTCCCCACACACATGCTGGGTGTTGGCCCGCCATGTACACTTGGTGCACACACACACACACACAC